TGGGCCCAAAAGCCTTAGTAAGCCCAAAACCCCAAGCTCCTAAACCCTAAGAAACCCTAAACCCCAACAAACCCCAAACCCTAACAAACCCTATATGAGTCCTTAGAGCTTTTGGGCTAGGGTTTAGGGGATGGTGGGTGAGGAGCCAGGGCTTCAGTGTTGAGGGCTTAGGGTTTTGGGGCTTTGGGGTTCTATGACGACTTTGTAAGGGGCTCTAGCATTTTTAGTAGGGTCTAAGGCTTCAGGATTGTCGGGGTTGAGGGAATTAGGGGTTTAAGGGTGTTTAGCTTCCAATTTGTTTGGGGCTTGAATCGAGCAGATTCCTTTTGTCCAGTTTGCTCTGGCACTCACGTCGGCCTGCCGTGCATGCAGCAATTTCACGACGAAGTGATGGCGGGTTTGGACGCGAAGGCCGACTTCCAGCGATTGCAAGGATTGACATAGGACATCGTGGACCGACCGCCGCATTGGTGAAGATCGAAGTGTGTCTTTGCGAAGTGCCTCAGTGCAGTACTGGAGAAACACTTGCCCGACGCAGTGGAAGGCATGTCACTGAGCATTGACGCTGCCTCCGTTCTGGGTTCTAGATAGCTTAAACAGAGGCGACGAACCTCGACCTGTATGATGTTTGCATTGGGAAAGCCGGGTGTGTGAAGTAAACCCTAAGCCCTAAACCCTAAACCCCTAAACCCTAAACCCTGTGAAGTATTACAGTAAGCGCAAGAGGCCAGGCATCAAGAACCCAAGAGTTGGCGATAACCCCTAAACCCCAAACTCCAAACCCTGAACCCTAACCCTAAACCAAAACCCCTAAACCCTAAACCCTAAACCCTAAACCCTAAACCCTAAACCCCTAAACCCCTAAACCCCTAAACCCCTAACTCCAAAGCCTGAACCCTAACTCGGATTTTAGGATGCCTAGTGTTTAGGGTTCAGGGTTTTGGGTTTTGGGTTTAGGGGTTTAGGATTTACGGGTTTAGGGTTTAGGGTTTTAGGATGTGTAGTGTTGGTTTCAGACTTCAAAAAGCGGTCTTATCCCGACACCTACAAGCCTATACTATACTCATCCTATTCCGTGAAGCGTATAGGGCCATGCCGGCATACCTTCCCCGTTTTGTGAGGTATCTAGTTGTATGGTTAGGATCGGTTTTATAATACAGCAAAGAAGGAACTCCAAAAAGGAGTAGGGTAGGAGCCTATAGGTGGAGTGGAAGCCGGACCTCTACCCTGTAAACTCTCTCGCTTAGCGCAATCGAAATCCGCACACCCGGCATCCCAAGCTCTCGACCCCCCGCCTCATACTTACACACCCAGGCCATAGAGCAACCCTATAGCAGAACTTGTCTCAACCCTACACCCCAACCTGGACCAAAAACCCACACACTCTATAGGCCTCGAACCCAAAACCCGAAAACCCTAAACCCCAAACTCCTCGGCCCCGAACCCCAAACCCGAAAACCCTAAACCCCAAAGGGTTTAGGGTTTAGGGGTTTAGGGTTTAGGGCCCGAAAACCCGGAACCCCGAACCCGCGGCTCCCATCCCATCGCCGCCTTTCCCCAGACCTTCGCGGATACCTTCCCGGTCTGGTCCCGAGTCAGAGCAAGAGCTCGGGAGTTGGGGGTTCCTTGTTAGGGTTTAGGGTTTAGGTAGGGTTTAGGGTTTAGGGTTCAGGGTTTAGGGTTTAGGGTTTAGGGTTCAGGGTCTATAGGGTTTAGGGTTTAGTTCTAGTAATTATGGAGTCATTTCAACAGCTCGGGAGTTTCGCGTTCTTCTTATCGCGGGGGCCTAATTCTTATTTTTTAAGGGGGTTCCTTATTAGGCTTGAGGATTTAGGGTCTAGGGTATAGCTATAGTAACTATAATATGCCCCCAAACCGTCTTCAAATTGTTAAATTAAGGCCCCTACAGTAGGTGTTCCTTATTTCTGTGGCACAATACTTAGAAAAGGGTTATGGGGTACCTGGTACGATAATTGTATGGGGACTATATAGTGGACCCCAGGAAGTTGGAGCATTGATTTGGGATGATGACTGCTGGGATTCCCTTTGCTTTTAGGGTTTAGGGTTTAGGGTTTAGGGTTTAGGGTTTAGGGGTTTAGGGATTAGGGTTTAGGGTTTAGGGTTTAGCTGCATCTTTGCGACATGAGTGCGGCATGGGGATAACGATGTTCCAACTTTCCGGCTTCGACTGCAGGAGGTGTCTGACGAGGGTTTAGGTTTTAGGGTTAACGGTTCCTCTCAGGGGTCTTCTAAGATTTTCTGTAGAGCTTCCTTTGAAGGGATCCGTTGAAAGGGCCCTTCAAGGGTTCCTATACGGGGCTATACTGTAGTAAAGGGCCTGCAAGAGCTCAGATTATTGATTGTTGATCTTGCATAGCTCTACGGATCCATGTTTACCTATGCAGTCTATACTTGGGCCTTATATGAGGTACCTATAACCTAAAACCCTAAACCCTAATAATGTACCTATACAGGAAGCCTTTTAAAGGCATGCGTATATAATTCTACAGGTACTTGGGGCCTTAGGGTAGATATATGGGCTCATGGGGACTATCCTGGCCTTTAGTTTAGGGGTGCGGGAGTTTAAGGCTTTATAGAGGTGTATGCGTGGTATAACCGGGGCTTTAGTGCGCTCTATTGCTTTGGGCTCTGACGGCGAGCACTCAGAACCCTGCCAGAGACTTTGTGATTGCAGGTTTCTGCTGGCTCGCTTCCGGAGGTCTCCCGCTGACTTCCCGGGTTCGGAGTTCCTTGTGGACCAAATTGTCAACTACTTGTTCTACATCTTCAGAAAGATTTGCACCCCACGTGGGATGTGAGCAATAAGATGTTTCAGGGTTCACCTGATCCTTAACCCTAAACCCTAAACCCTAAACCCTAAACCCTAATTATTAAGCACCTGTCTTGCTGCCAAACCGAAATCAAGACCTCCACGAGGCTTCGGGCTTGCAGGCTCCCCCATCCTGGAAGCCGAATTGTCTACGTAACGGGTTATCGGGCGATGGCTGTATGGAGACAATGGTCTACTAATTTCTATATATATATATATGTATGTATAGTACTTATGCTGGTATATTCATGTTGCCATATGTCTTATGAGTTTACACCATCACAGCAGCCCAGCTGCTTTTTGGGTGATGAACTAAATTTCTGGTCTACCTTAAGGGTTCATGTACCCAAATAGAGATACTTTGGCCTTAAAGTAGTCCCTATATAGGTACTTTGGGGCCAATGTATATCCTATATGAGTACATGGACCCTTAGGGCTAGTGCTGTCTGTCTACGGCCAGGACGACCGCTTGGACCTGCGTGCGCAGTCCCAGCTCCTTCCACCTGATAGTCCGCAGTGGGCCCCGGATTTGTGTGGTTTAGGGATTTAGGGTTTTGAGGTGTAGGGTTTAAGAGGTTTAGGGATTTAGGGTTTGAGGTGTAGGGTTTAAGAGGTTTAGGGATTTAGGGTTTGAGGTGTAGGGTTAAAGGGTTTGTCTGGTGCAAGTCTTTGCAGGTAGAGTCTAGCAGATGGCTTACAACAGGCCTTACCTTCACCCATGCTCCATGCTTGTAAGGTTCCAGAATGATGTCCCGACTCTGTTTCGCTTTAACCCTAACCCGGAGCTTCAGACGTACCCAGAGAATATCCCTTAATTAAGGAGTATACCTTAAATCATATGAGGGATCCTACTTTAATTTAGGGTATATTCCTTACTTAAGGGATATTGGAGTCTCTGGGTACTAGCCTTTGAAGCATTCCAGGGACTGAAAGGGTTCAGGGAGTTACGGTTTAGGGGCGTAATGAAGTCGAAGTTTGAAGGGTTTAGGGTTTTACGCCTTAGGGGCATAATGAAGTCGAAGTCCATCAAGTTTAGGGTTTTACGGCTTAGGGGCATCGTGAAGTCGGAGTGTCTTGTATGTAAGGGCTTTGCAGGCTAAGGGATGTCGGGATGCCGACATGGGAGCACCGCAAACCACTGAAACAGATTCTGCTAGTTAGTTGTGGGGCTCAGGATCTATCTGGAGGTTCAGGGCATCATTAAAGTATACCTGGACCCAAAACAACCTACCTTTTGGGGTTCCTTATTATAGTTTCTTCATAAGGTAAAGATATCTGGGGCTGAGGTACTTATAGTTTATAAACGCTGCCATTTATAGCTACCCAACATAGAATCCACTTGGTTGTTAACACCCTGAGCCTGAGCCTCCAAGACGTAGGGTCTCACCTGGGAGAGTCAACGCCGAAGCGACAGGGGGACCCAGAAGCAGCACTCGCGATGACGAGTTGCCTTACCCTATGGGTCCAAAGCACCCAAGAATAAGGTACTTTGGTTGCGGATAGCA